AAGCAGTGAATTAACTGATGGTCTTTAATATTGTTATGTCTCAAAATATCAGTAATATCATGCTTTCCATATTGTAGACATTGTAGACATTTTTGTTCTTGTTTTTTTGCTATAAAATAATATAAAGGACACAAATAAAACATGGGCCATTATAAATGAATTGGAAGATGGCCAAGAAATAACAAATTGTATAGGGATCTATAAAAAATAAATGAACTGGCTTGTATTGTTTTTTGTTGTTATTAGAACAATATTAGTGGAAAGTATAACAATCTACATACTATGTGCATTAGCTATTTTCATTTAGAAATTTCATATTTAGTGCTCCCAAATAAATGTGCATATAATGTGGCAACTCTAAAGGGTCTTTGTGTATAAAGTGATGTCTTAATGTCAGTGAATGAAATTATATTTTCAGATCCACATAATAAACATAATTCGCAAAATAGGCAAATGAACATTGGTCATATGTTAATAAGTACCCGATTGTTATAACTCAAATGCCCCACACTATATTGTTAATGTTACTAAACAAGGTGCATACATTTTGAGGTCCAAAGTTTCAGCCCGGTTTGCCTGATATGCAGAAAAATCCATATTGATTTTTTGATTTGATAATATCAATTTTTAACATTTTGTATGAGCTTCTATTAATAAATGTAAATATTCATTTTTATTTTCTAATTTGCCAGCTAAGAACCCGGTTTGGTCAATTCAAATGGATTGATAATAATGGCATTGTCACTGAACATGTAATCCATCTCTTTCTTATTTTGTATTGCCTATTTTTATTTTCACTATTATCTTCTTTTCTCTTCTCTTCTCTTCATTTCTCTTTCTTCCCTTCCCTTCCCTTCCCTTCCATTCTCTTCTCTTCTTTTCTCTTTTTTCACTTCCTTCCTTTCCATTCCAATCTCTTTCTTCTTTTCTCTTCCTTCCCTTCCTTTTTCTTCTCTTTTTTTCTCTAATCTACTCTTCTATTCTCCCCTCTCTTTCCCCATCCCCCTTCTCTTAAACGACATGTATGCATGTGTAGATAGGGGGCGTATATGCCTATGTGTGTACACTTTCTGCTGCTTTATATTATATCCACATCTTGTCAACCATGTTTTGTCATTTGAAGTGCTCTGTTCCAAAAAAACATTTTTTTTGTTTGCATTAATGTACACATTCCCAGTAGTAGCCTCATACACTGACACTTCCAAAAGTCTGAATTTCTCCCAAAAAGTCAAAAATGGCATTGAAACACCAGTTCGGTTCCAAAAGGCACTATATCCAATCAAGTCATTAATTGTAACTTGCATACTGTATGCAATATGTTCGGTTCTAAAAAGTACTACATCCACAACAATTAAAACCACATAAATTAATGAAAAATATTTGTGCAGACTTAGATTTTGTTAAAGAGTGGTTTTATACTTGAATCATACAATACAATAGTCTAATCAGCTAAAGTATCATTCCCAACTGACATTGCTAACTATGACAATTAAAAAAAATCGTTCGGGGTAGCTTTCGTTTGTTTGATGTATCCCAACCGTTTTTCTACTAATGTGTTATAACTGTAACTTTCTGGCAATCATTCGATAAACTATGCATTCGTATTGAATATATTCTTTATTTTTTAATGATGAAATAAATATAAACATGAAATTGATTCAAATGAGAATCATAATTGTTCTAAGTTCACAAGAGTTGCCGTAAATAAAATTTACGTAGAAAGCACTTAGGTAGTATGAATCTGCTTAAATATCACAAAAACAGAAGGGAAAAAATTATTCCCACGATTCCGACAGATGTGTCTCTATTGCAAACAAGGCTGTGTACACAACTTTTTATTGAAAAAAAGGGAGGAAAATTCCACAAATTTGTTCAAAAACAGAAATATGCCTGCACTCATTGTGCAGACAGAATCGAAGGCCGCGAGACCGATAACAATAGGTGGTGACGTCAGAAACGTATGGATATTTCCTTTTTGTTGGTCTTTCAAATTTGTGTAAACTTTAATTTTCATATTTAAGTGAGGTTTGCGGTTACACCACATATTCTTTCGACAGGGTTATTTATCTCTGAAAAATGCCCACTCATGCTCTGTATCGACGTTTCGAATGGTTGTACCAATCGTCTTCGGGATGAGTGTGTATAATGGGTCTATATACACTTGGGTTGGACCACTGCACAAGTCAGGGGGGTTATGCTCTTAATATTGTTGCGTATTTCTTGAATTGCCATTCTTCCTCCTCTATTTATTTGTCCTTATTTCAGTTTTTGTCCACATTTTATCTCATTTTTCCTGTCCTTTTTTTCCATCTTTCCCAATGCATCTCTCTCTCTCTTTATCCTCCATCTCTCCCCTATTCCTATCTATCTCTCTCTCTCTCTCTTCTCTTATATCCTCTTATATCGTCTATCTTTCTCAATTTTCCCTATTATGGTTCTATATCCTCCTTTCTTCATTTCCCATTGCGTTTCTTCCAATCCCTTTCATGGGGGTCTTTCACAAATTCTAAAATCAACTTTTAGTTGGACTTGACTATGGCAAGCCGTTCATGCCAATGTTTGCTCTCACCATTAACTGGAATCGGTCTCTTAACGGACGTACAAATCAATGTCACAAATCTACAGAATTTACTTTTTTGGATAATTCATTATAATTGAAGGAATATGTAATACCTAAATATCATAATGGTGAGAGCAAACAGTGGCATGAACGGCCTGTCATAGTTAAGTCCAACTTAAAGTCAATCTTAGTCTTTGTGAAACACCCCCCCCCCCTTTTTTGTATCTATATTACTGACCATGATCTGGCATTGGCTGAATTTTAAGCCCGATGCTGGGTGTATGCTTTAAACAAAATCGGATTTAAAAAAGGAAGTCCCTCTGACGTCTAAAGTTTAAATTTGTTAAACGTGATTTAGATAGACCTAGGCCCATTTTTATCCGAATTAGGATAGACTATGGGCCTATGGATTTTGTAAAGGTTAGTAGTTAGTAGTAAGTCGGAACATAACCTGATTTCTCACAATTCATTTCTATATATTTATGTACTTACAGGACTTGAGACGTTGAACTTTCTCGATTTCGACTGGTGCGATCGACCTTTTATTAGGCCAGCTGTTAAACGAACCAACAATGAGGTCGTTTGCTTTTCTCGCAATCTCAATACTGGTTGCCATGGCATCAGGCCAGGCTCCCTCGGACTATCAGGAGCCATTCCAGAACCCGGGAGAGATAATTCCTGGTTTGACCATCAAATTCATGATCAACGCTGCTGGTGGTATCTGGCAGCAGGATCGTATCATTGATTCGTTGGCCTATGTATGCAGAGGTGTCCTACCGGTAATCGGTTCGGCGGTACCGGAAGTGGACCAGTCAAGTCTGTATTGGGGTTTCGTCTGTGATAAAGTCATCGAAGCTTCTGAAGATCTGGATGCCTTTGACGCAACGGGATTCTGTAATGACATAATTACTGAGGTCAATAGCCTTATATCTCAAGACAGTGGCGGAAGATATCGCAGACAATGGGAACCAACTACGGAATACCCTGACTACATGGAAGATCCCCTGGGTATCCTTGGAATCCTGACCAACATCACCAGAGACCTCTATGGAATCGACATCAACATGATCATCAATGACCTATCTACAATCAACACCATCTGCACCAACGTCAAGGAGAATTTCCTGAGGCCATCTCTTCAAGATCTCATCTCTCAGTTCGGGGCTGAACTGATGAGTGCCTATCTACCCCAGGCAGCTCCGATATGTCAAGACTGGCAAGGCTTCCTTGCAGGTGCAGGCATCGATTCCACGTCGCCTTACTACAACATTATCCAAGATGGCGCTGGTATCGGATCTCAGGCGGTCGGATATGACGACAGAGAGGATCTTTGTCAACATCTTGAGCAAGCACTATCGGTGCAAGGTAAGATAATGATTTTTACTTAATGTATTGCTAAAATATAGACATCTTCTTTTCTTTTTATTTCTTCTTGCCTACCGATTTATATTCAGTTATCCGTCTTGGTTACTGAGAAATGTCACTTCAAGGCCAGAAGGATATGTGTTAAGGCCCACCTGGCTCCATACAAACGATATGTCAGTTGATCGCGACCGTGTAATCGTTGGGTGATGAACGACTAAAGAACATATAGAAACCTTGTTTGTTTGGCCCATTTGATATTTAACTAGTCTGATAATTAATTATGATGCTTGCCGCTTATTCTCCGCTTCGACTTAGCCATTCACAAGTCGCTTTTTCCTGAATTTGTAGTGTAATGTCGATTTAAACCCGCAGTTGTCTTTGACAGTAGTGAATGCATGATAATGATGGTTTAGCTATATGAAAGCCAAATGTACAAAACAAGCAAACGCTTGGTCCCTGTTTATCATTCAGATACACTGTGTACCGCTACAGCATGACGTCACAATGTTTTACTGATCGGCCGATGTCGTCCTGTCAAGGACGATACATAGATCCCTGTTTTGTAGACAGGGTCGTCCTCGATTTCTAATAGTTTTCACGAAGTACAGTATATAAGCTTACTCTCTCAGTGATCCAATCTCAACGTGATCCTAAAGACTTCCGAAAAGACAAGATACTTTCCAATAACCATGTACACCATCATGTAAGATGGGCGAACATTATAATGATATCAATAGGACGTTATCCGAACTTGATTATTTGAGGCAAACTTATGTGTTATTAAAATGTCCTTACTTTGATTTCTGGAAAGTCTTTGTGATATTATGATGCTCATAATTTGTTTTGCTTCTTGTTTGTTTTGCAGGAGATAACAACGCCGCAAGGAGAACGTTCTCCATGGACATCATCTCCGAAATCTTCGCTTCCATGGAGGAGGCTGACAGATGTACTCCATTGGCTAATGACGTCATTCGCCAGGTCATCCAGCCCCTCATACGTATGGACTTACCCGCCTATGTGCTTTCGAACGAAGAGATTCTTGCTTATACCGGCATTGATGGTGGAGTGACAGCTGTTTGTACAGCAATGGAGAACGCTGTCACGTGTAAGTTCATAAACTGTGATAATATTAAACGTATACACTGTACTATTATAAAACAAAAAGAAGAAGAAGAGAGAAAAAAGAACTCATTTTTTATATGTTCGTTTCATGAAAACGACGCTCAGAGATTAGATTTCGATTCGATCGTCGGCTGTCCGTAATAAGGCCGTAAATGCCATGAACATTACATACCTGTAACGCCCTTCTTGTCGGCAGGTAGCCGACGGGATTTTCAGGTGGGCTGTATAACGTACAGACCACCTTATAATTTCGTTAGAATTGCCTTTATTTATTTATTAAATATTTTTCTTATTTCTAACCACTTTTTTGTTGGCAAGATAACTTTGAAATGGCTCAATCAAATGTCTTAAAATTTGGCACACATATGTATAGGCATATGTACAAAGCACAATAACGTTTTCAACATTGACCTTCACTGATGACGTCATCTAGGCGCCATTTTGTAAAATTTTACGAAAATCTACTCATGATCATATCTTCATAACCAAAAGTTTGTTCTCATTCATATTTATCATGATTAAGGTCAATATCCGTCCGGTCAATTTCAGGTTAAATAACGCGGGCGTGCGCGTACGTCCGCGCGTCAATGCGCGCGCAAAATATTTAAATGCTCAAAATCGTCTCAAAATAATTTTGCATACGTTTTAGGCCATTCTAGGCATTTTATATAAAATAGCGCACACGCGCATGCGCGCGCGTTTTCGCGCGTAAAACTATTACAAAACATAAAATCGCCATTTTTTTTCATTCATAATATTCCACATATTTTTACAAACAAATTGATACCATGTTTTTCTCTTTATTACTATGAATAACGGAATGATCGACCGTTTAACATAAATTTCTGTGCGCGCGAGCTCTTGTAATACATAGCATATATGGGCAAAAACATGCCTATACAAGATCAATTGTAGCTTTTAAGGATGCAAGGTGACCCCAATTTTGAGGTCATATTTGGATGGAGTATGAATTGGAGATATGATTTCATGTCTCATTTGACCCTCAATTAACTCATGACGTCTTCATAATGGCCTCCAAACTCAAAATTTTAATTTGCGTATTATGACGTCAGCATATTTACGGAAAAAATGATTGTTTCTCTGTAAATATTGATCGATTGTCTTGCAAATTCGTATATGTTTTAGCTGAGACAATTTTCTACAAATAAAATGTGCACAAATTTTCATTCTGACAATGGCATCAGGGAGTATTTTCGCGATTAAAAGAGGCATGTCAATTTTTCACATTTTGCGTGTATTCTCTATGAGACATGAGTTTTTCTCAAAACTGGATTCTACACTCCCGTCTTTCGCGAGCAATATCTTTGTCGTTTTAGCTTCGTTTACGCTGAACTTCGAGTATGTTGTAGCTGAGACAATGAGCTATCTCAAATGTACCTTTTATTTTGTCTCAAATTTTAGTTCGACCAGCCCACCTATACTTGTTCCAAACAAGTATTACAAATCTAGTATATTTTTCTTATTTCTAACCACTTTTTTGTTGGCAAGATAACTTGGAAATGGCTCAATCAAATAATTTGAAATTTGGCACACATATGTATAGGCATATGAACAAAGCACAATAACGTTTTCAACATTGACCTTCACTGATGACGTCATCTAGGCGCCATTTTGTAAAATTTTACGAAAATCAACTCCTGATCATATCTTCATAACCAAAAGGTATTTCTGATTCATATTTATCATGATCAGGGTCAATATCCGTCCGTTCAATTTCAGGTCAAATAACGCGCGCGTGCGCGTACGTCCGCGCGTCAATGCGCGCGCAAAATTTTGAAATGCTCAAAATCGTCTCAAAATCATTTTGCATACGTTTTAGGCCATTCTAAGCATTTTTTTAAAAATCGCGCACACGCGCATGCGCGCGCGTTTTCGCGCGTAAAACTATTAGACACCATAGAATCGCCATTTTTTTTCTTTCATAATATTCCACATATTCTTACAAACAAATTGATACCATGTTTGTCTCTTTATGACTATAAATAATTGAATAATCGACCGTTTAACATAAATTTCAATGCGCGCGAGCTCTTGTAATACATAGCATATATGGGCAAAAACATGCCTATGCAAAATCCATTATAGCTCTTTAGGATGCAAGGTGACCCCAATTTTTTTTTCATATTTTGAGCGAGTATGAATCAGAGATATGATTTCATGTCTCATTTGACCCTCAATTAACTCATAACGTCATCATAATGGCCTCCGAACTCAAAATTTCAATTTGCCTATTATGACGTCAGCATTTTTTTGGAAAATTGATTGTATCTTTCTAAAAATTGATTAATTTTCTTTAAAATTTTGATATGTTCTAGCTGAGACAATTCTCTACAAATCCAGTTGTCACAATTTTTCATTTTGACAAAGGCATCATGGCGTATTTTTGCGATTAAAGGAGGCAAGCTAATTTTTTCACATTTTGCGTGTATTCTCTATGGGACATGACTTTTTCTCAAAACTTGATTCTACATTCCCGTCTTTCGCGAGCAATATCTACGTCGTTTTAGCTTCATTTACGCTGAACTCCGAATATGTTGTAGCTGAGACAAAAAGCTATTTCAAATGTACCCTTTATTTTGTCTCAATTTTTTGTTGGATCAGCCCACCTATACTTGTTCCAAACAAGTATTACAAATCTAGTATATTTTTCTTATTTCTAACCACTTTTTTGTTGGCAAGATAACTTGGAAATGGCTCAATCAAATAATTTGAAATTTGGCACACATATGTATAGGCATATGTACAAAGCACAATAACGTTTTTAACATTGACCTTCACTGATGACGTCATCTAGGCGCCATTTTGTAAAATTTTACGAAAATCAACTCCTGATCATATCTTCATAACCAAAAGGTATTTCTGATTCATAATTATCATGATCAGGGTCAATATCCGTCCGGTCAATTTCAGGTCAAATAACGCGCGCGTGCGCGTACGTCCGCGCGTCAATGCGCGCGCAAAATTTTGAAATGCTCAAAATCGTCTCAAAATCATTTTGCATACGTTTTAGGCCATTCTAAGCATTTTTTTAAAAATCGCGCACACGCGCATGCGCGCGCGTTTTCGCGCGTAAAACTATTAGACACCATAGAATCGCCATTTTTTTTCTTTCATAATATTCCACATATTCTTACAAACAAATTGATACCATGTTTGTCTCTTTATGACTATAAATAATTGAATAATCGACCGTTTAACATAAATTTCAATGCGCGCGAGCTTTTGTAATACATAGCATATATGGGCAAAACATGCCTATGCAAAATCCATTATAGCTCTTTAGGATGCAAGGTGACCCCAATTTTTTTTTCATATTTTGAGCGAGTATGAATCAGAGATATGATTTCATGTCTCATTTGACCCTCAATTAACTCATGACGTCATCATAATGGCCTCCGAACTCAAAATTTCAATTTGCCTATTATGACGTCAGCATTTTTTTGGAAAATTGATTGTATCTTTCTAAAAATTGATTAATTTTCTTTAAAATTTTGATATGTTCTAGCTGAGACAATTCTCTACAAATCCAGTTGTCACAATTTTTCATTTTGACAAAGGCATCATGGCGTATTTTTGCGATTAAAGGAGGCAAGCTAATTTTTTCACATTTTGCGTGTATTCTCTATGGGACATGACTTTTTCTCAAAACTTGATTCTACATTCCCGTCTTTCGCGAGCAATATCTACGTCGTTTTAGCTTCATTTACGCTGAACTCCGAATATGTTGTAGCTGAGACAAAAAGCTATTTCAAATGTACCCTTTATTTTGTCTCAATTTTTTGTTGGATCAGCCCACCTATACTTGTTCCAAACAAGTATTACAAATCTAGTTTATTTATATTTTAATTAACAGAGCTCACGTTGTAATGTACTGTACTTTCTTTGGTATTCTTTGCCCAATTTTTTAGCAGATAACATGTTTACAAAAACTAAAACACAAGGGTTAGCCTGTAGTATATTAGAAAAGCGTTTAGAGTCATCGTGGATAGTTTAATTGCCATACAAATGAAGATGTATTAATTACTGAGTCAGCGACTGGTGCGGTGTGGGGGAGGGGGGGGGGCATCGTTAAGTGAAGTTGTTCAAAAGGTTTGTGAAAAATATACAGAACAGACGCTGGGCTAATGATGATACAAAATAACTTGACACTTCATGAGCAATGTGGATTAGAATTTATTGAAACTTACTTGACTCTGGTTGCTCATTTATATCGATTGATCCGTTTGGCGATAAGTAAAATGGCTTTTATTTCATTTCTAATCTCAGATGAAATAGACCTCCCAGACCCTGTTCCGGTTCAGATCATCTATGGGACCACACTGACCGTTGGGTTCTTCTTGAATGCTGTTGGTGGCATCTGGCAACAAGACCGACTCATCGACTCCCTGGCCTTTGTATGTACAGACGTCTTACCTGAGCTCGAATCGATGGTACCCGACTTTAAGTCTCTCGTTAAAGATTCCTGGGATTATAAGCCAGTCTGCGGGAGGATCCGCGATGCAGCTAGTAACTTGGAGGCATTTGACGCGACGGAATTCTGTAAAGACGTAACCAAGATAGTCGACGACTTGATCTACGGCCCGGGAACTGGTGAAAGGGTTCGCAGGCAGGCAGACCCATACATGGATATCCTAGACATCATAGCGAATATCACCAAAGAACTCTACAACATTGACATCAATGACCTGTCGACCATCTGTCCAAACATCGCCCAGTTCCTGGACAGGTCCATTCCTGATATCATATCGGAATTCGGTGCTAAGCTGATGGTTGTCTATCTACCCAATATAGATGGTATGCTCTGTCAAGACTGGGACCAGACAATTAGGTCGTTGGGGATAGATTCTACTTCGGCGTTGGGCGACGTTGTCCAGAATGCTGCTCGTATTGCATCCCAGGCTGCAGGATATGAAAGCAGACAGGCTCTCTGCCAAGAAATCACCAGAGTACTAGCCATAACAGGTGACGTCTTTAGGGGACAAATAATATTCTGAAGGAAAAACGAAGTTAAAACCGAACTTACATTAATGAGCTAATGCGGTAAATTATTTCAACAACAAAAAACACCACTGGATAAAATCCTTATATAGTGTTTCTGCAGAGTTCTATCTCCCTATTAACCTTGTAAGCCTAATTGTATCTCTACGCATTTCTTATATTGAGCTCAAACTACAATGTGATGTCTCTGACGGTTTGCAGAAACCGATCAGGTTTAAGTCAAGAAATTCATTGGGACTATGCCTTCTATTTACATGAATAAATTGGGGTTAAATAGAACAATTTCTTCCCGAATACTAACAAAGCTTTGAAGGCGTTAATTTAGAGTGTTCTGATATTCCAACTAAAGAACAAGCTTTAACAAAAAATAAACTGGTGTCATTAATTCGGCCATCATTTAGTTTACAAAAGTTAAATAATTTATTTAATTATAGAGTCGTAGTGAGGAATCGATAGCAGAAGACGTCGGTACGGATGTTTCTTTCAACAATTCGTATGTGTTTTTATTTGTAATACCACATCATTTAATCATACTTCTTATTATAGTTATACATGTTCTTAAACGCATATTCTTATCTCGTATTGTTTTATATTCGTATATCTATACAGGAGATGATAACGAAGAGCGTCAGACTTTTGCCAAGAATATCATCGAGAGCAGTTTTGAGATTTATACAAACAACGACAGGTGTTCAATGTACTTCAATGACGCCATCGATGACATCATCGAACCAATCTTTGAGATTCAAAACCTTCAGATTAAAATCAGCGATTATACCATTTATCGTTACACCGGGTACATGGGCGTAGAAGAGGTCTGCGAGGCACTGGAGACAGATTTCACGAGTGAGTCTAAATTATTGGGGAGGTTTCGAGGTATATTAGTTTATTCACCTGTCTTTTAGTAGACCGGTTTACTTAAAGCTACGGTCACAAATGTTCGTACGGCCGCCTTGCGAAGAGAGGGTTTCATACGAGTTTAAAAAAAAATCTTGGACAAGACCATCGACCAGTCTGTGAACTTACGAACGGTCTACGAACGATCTACGAACGCTGGTTACGTACGACCTTCTTAAGAAGATCTTACGAAATGGTCTGAAATCGTTCGTACGGTGTTCATAGCAGCTCGTAATGGTATTTGTGACCGAGGGTCAATGTATTTCGTTTTATAAATGAAATTTCCCCTAAGCACAGGTTAAGCCCCAGTCCCATATAAAGCCGGACCAGCACGGACGAGCACGGACCACTCCGGACCATCCCGGACCATGGTCTGGGTGATCCGGGATGGTCCGGGATGTTTTGTTCAAAAAAGTGTGATGCTTTAAAGCCCCAGTCCCATATAAAGCCGGACCAGCACGGACGAGCACAGACCACTCCGGACCATCCCGGACCATGGTCTGGGGTGATCCGGGATGGTCCGGGATGTTTTGTTCAAAAAAGTGTGATGCTTTTAAGCTACAGTCCCATATACGTCCCGGACCGTCCCGGACCATCCCGGACTCCATCCGGGGTGATCCGGGATTCGGTCCGTGTTGACACCGTGTTGGCACCGGGATGGTCCTGGATGGTCCTGGATGGTCCTGGGCGGTCAATAACTCACTCCCGGACTGCCACGGATCAACACGGACCGCCCCGGCGCCACTACGGATGACCCCGGACCCAGCACGGTGGCTACACGGATCACCCCGGATCAAACTATTGTCCCGGACCGTCCCGGACCACCCCGGCAGTTTTTGACCGTCAAAAACATCCGGGGTCGACTCCCGGACCGCCCAGGACCATCCAGGACCATCCAGGACCATCCAGGACCATCCAGGACCACCCCGGTGCCAACACGGTGTCAACACGGACCGAATCCCGGATCACCCCGGATGGGGTTCGGGATGGTCCGGGACGGTCCGGGACGTATATGGGACTGTAAGCTACAGTCTCATATACGTCCCGGACCGTCCCGGACCATCCCGGACCCCATCCGGGGTGATCCGGGATTCGGTCCGTGTTGACACCGTGTTGGCACCGGGGTGGTCCTGGATGGTCTTGGATGGTCCTGGATGGTCCTGGATGGTCCTGGGCGGTCAATAACTCACTCCCGGACTGCCACGGATCAACACGGACCGCCCCGGCGCCACTACGGATGACCCCGGACCCAACACGGTGGCTACACGGATCACCCCGGATCAAACTATTGTCCCGGACCGTCCCGGACCACCCCGGCAGTTTTTGACCGTCAAAAACATCCGGGGTCGACTCCCGGACCGCCCAGGACCATCCAGGACCATCCAGGACCATCCAGGACCATCCAGAACCACCCCGGTGCCAACACGGTGTCAACACGGACCGAATCCCGGATCACCCCGGATGGGGTCCGGGATGGTCCGGGACGGTCCGGGACGTATATGGGACTGTAGCTTAACCAGTCATTTCGTGTCCCTATGGATGGAATTCACTGTGCATATATTAAGTGTTGCCATGTCGGACAAACATTCCCCTTTTTTTAGTTGTCAAGAGAGTCTTTTGTTTAAAAGGTATGCGTAAAATAATTTAAAATGTATATTCAAGGGTTGAGGGTTCGAATCCCAGCCAGCTGACATAAATCTACATTTGCCAATCCCACCAAGGTGTAGCAAGCATGGGCGTAAATCCTTACGTAATACCTATTGTTCAGGGGGGCGGGGGATGAATAAATAGATCATCCCCCCTGAACAATAGGTATTACGTAAGGATTTACGCCCATGGTATAGCAAGCATTTGATTAAGTGAAATTATGATTCTATTATTATTATTATCATTATTAGGTGGTCTGTTATCAACAGACCACCTATTGATTTCGTCAGAATTTTCTTTCTTCTTTATTATTATTATTATTATTATTTATTTATTTTTATTTATTTCTTCACTTTTTTGTGTGTCGGATAACGTAAGATTGGTTATGTCAATTTGATTCAATTTTGGCACAGTCATAGGTCATTATCATGAGACGTGACAGGAACATTTTTAAGGTCATTAGGTTATCGTGACGTCATCCAGGCGCCATTTTGTGAAATCACGTTATCCATCATATCTTCATGATGCATCAGCAAAGGTCATTCATATTCATATCATATATACTTTAGGTCAAGGGTCAACAGGTCATGTCATCAAAGGTCACATAAAGGTCATGACGCGCGCGTATGTGCGCGTCAAAATTTAAAATTGCTCAAAATCACTAAACTATTAAACGAGAGTACGAATCAGGTCATTTTAAGCATTTCAAAATTTTCCGTCCGTAAGTGTCCCCGCGCGCGGTGTGCGCGCTCACAGCGCGCGGAAAAGGTCAAATTCAAAATGTTTACATGATTTGGATTCCTCTTAACGTAATTGACAATTAACATTAATTTCAGTCACTCTTCATGTTTCATAAGGCCGTGAGCGTGCGTCAAAGTTCAAAATCCGCGCGTACTGCTATGGGCAATATAGTGCAAATTTGATCAAAAACATGCCATTTTAAAAATCGAAATAGCTCTTCAGATAGTCCATTAACCCCCAATTTTTATATCATGGTTGGAGAAAGCATGAGTTGGAGATATGATTTCATACCACCCTGACTCGTACAAAGTGAAATAAAGTCATCATATTGGCATCTAAACTCAAACAAATGTATTTTGTTGATGACGTCATTTTTGTCTTTGTTTATTTGAGATTATTTCACTTATCGGTGATCGATTTTCTCCCAGATTTTGATACGTTGTAGCTGAGATAATTTTCTATCAGAAATTTGTCATATATTATCATTAGGATGACGTCATCATAGTAAAATATTCGATTAAAGGTGGCAATGCATAATTTGTCATATTTGCGTGTTATGTCTATGGGAGGTCACTTTTTTCAAAACATGAATCTGCATGACAATGTGTTTTGACCAGTATCTCGAGTGTTATTTAACAGTTTTCTCCTAAATTTTAGTATGTTGTCGTTGAGACCATATGTTATCTAAATCATTCCTCATTTTTCCGATAAGATGTCAGAATCACGCTCATGACCATGATCATCATCATTATCATATTGATGATAATCATCCTCATCAACATCATCATGATCATCATCATCATAATCATCATTGTTTACATGTCGATATAACTTCTCCCTTTTTCAATATAGTAAATATTATAATCTATTATAAGACTTGAAGACAGACCACCTTATTCGTCTTCGTGACGAATTAAATTTCTAGTTATTATTATTAATATTCGTCCTGTTATTATTATTATTATTCATCCTTTTCTTCTTAATATTATCATAACATTTCCTCGAGCCTTTTTTTCGTTAATCAGTGGGAGAGCACTGTTGAACATTGATGAAGGATTGATTTTCATATGAGAAGTTCCGGGTTCGATCCTTTCTCGGCGCTTACATATATATTTACACTATGAATATGACTGACAAAGAAAGCGGACAAAATATACAGTTCCCCAGGTAGACAAAGGAACATCCCTTCACTGCTATTATGTAAAAATGTGTAGAACAGGTGTCACATGCATATTCACCTTTCTACATAATAGCAGTGAAGGGATGTTCCTTTGTCTCCCTGAGGAACTGTATATTTTGTCCGCTTTCTTTGTCTGTCATGTTCATAGTGTTAGACACGTTAGACAATATGTTTTACCCACTTTTTTGCAACTCTCTACCCTTGTCTATTAAGATATACATGTCATTTGGCAAGACATTAATCTACTTTTGCCAGCCTCTACCCAGGTGATGCAAATGGGTACCTGGTAGGAATTTATTCCCTGAATGTTCTAGCGCCTCACGGCAGCTTGGCTAAAGCAACGGTAATAATAACACTTCCGAAGCACCCTGAGCAGCCCATGGGATCATACGAGCGCGATATTGTTTTAGTAGATATACTAATGTTTCGACCCCGACGAAGAACAGTATTATCAGTTATTGATGAGGCTTTCCTAGGTTGATTAGACTATCATTATCAAATTTGGTTAAAATTTGATGCACTTTTTCCTCAAAATTTTGTTTCCGATTCCCAGAGCTTTCTACTAGCACTGTAACGATGACTCTGACAGGCGAGAGACTAAACGGAGAGCTTCTTGTGTTCACTGATGATCTGAAGAACCAGGCGTCTCCTCGCTTCAAGAAGCTTGAAACGCTGTACTGTGGAGTGGTAAGTTTGAAACAATGATTAAACATTGATAGTGAAACAACAACAACAACGATGACGACAACAATGATAATACCTCAAGTTATGATTTTAACTCTACTTCTACTACTACTACTATTACAACTACTAATACTGCTACTAATACCACCTCTACTACTACTACTACTACTACTACTACTACTACTACTATTGTACAACAACTACTACTACTATTTTACAACTACTACTACAGCTACTACTATTATTGATAATAACAACGATAACAATAATGATAATAATGATAGTAATACAAATAATAAAAATCAACATCATTGTCATCATCATCATTATCATCATCCATTGTTGTAAAACACATACACTGTCCGTATGGATAAACATGATTGAGAAGCTCGCTCAACGTACGCAGCAGGGTTGGCCGGGACGGTACATTCCCCGCAGAGGACAAGCGAAAGCACAGGCGCACAGTTTTCTCAACTACAAATAATTTGACGGTCACCGACAATACTACTACTACTACTGCTTCTACTAAACAGACAGGCGTAAATAGTCAATTTTGACTGAACGCCCAAAATACAAACAACAACATCAACACATGAACCTGCTGTTTTGAATATCATTTATCAGCAGGGAATCCAAAATAATGATCAAAACGTTTTGGTCACCTACAAAAGGCCAAATTGTATTAAGTCAAACCATATTATGTTCATGAAAATGTATATATGATCAAGAAAGAAAAAAAAGATGCAGAAATCAATAAATCAAATCAAATCAAATCAAAATTCAAATAAGTGTTTGTTTTTCCTTCCTAATAGATAGGGAATCATCTTAGGCGGGAGTTAGGATCGGACCTTCGAGGTATGGACTGTGTAGCCACGTCTTTCAGCCCTGGCAGCATTATCGCTGAGTTGGAGATTGAGATTCATGCCTACACTCAGGATGATGCTGATTCTCTCGCTGAGGATGCGGTAGACCTGTCTACCAGCGGCACTCTCGTCCTCTCCTCCGATGGAGAAACCTTGACAGTGTCCTCACTTCAAGGATCAGGATCAGGTAATAGACTGTCCAGGGAGCGGTTTGATTAAAGCCCCACTGCATTACTTATAGCTACTTCCGCCCTCTATATAGCAAACAATGCCTAATCGGTGCCTGTTGGTCCCCCATGATCCACTTTTTCTTATGTTAATTGAGAGCTGATTTGATGAGATAACCACCTGTCCGTGACCTGGCAGGGAGGTCTAATCCCCCTGGCCAAACTGGTGCAGACGGGCTTATTAAGAGGCATCGCTGCGGGGTAGGAGCTCCAAATCCCTCCATTCATTACAAACAAATGTTTTTTTTTTTTTAAATATTTTGCTGAATTTTTCCTTTTTAGACAGATAGTTTAGGGAATTTTCTAACCCAGTTTAAAAATCGCTGAATTGGTGACTCCATGTCTTTATTTTGTTTTGCTTTGCTTTGTTATGTTTTGTTTTTGTTTGTTTGTTTATTTGCTGTTTATTTGTTTGTTTAATGTTGCATGCCGGGAAACAATTTTATCTCTTTGAAGGCAAATTGGAATATCTTTGAAACCTTTATTTGGGGAGAGGGGAGGGGAGGGGGGGGGGGGGGCTTACGTATGTACAAGTTTAAGCTGACTTCACCCCTTTCCACTACGACCCCCTCCCCCCCCCCTCCGCCATTCTAATTGGTCTAGTGACATCATTCTAAGTGTGATCTTAAGAATCACAGGAGTCACTTCCTAATATGAAGGAAATCGCCAGAGAATAAATGATCGAATTACTCTCTTTTGGAGAGGATCTACAGTCAATTCTTAAAGTCGAATTCCACTCCCAAATAGAAAGATTCCTACTAAGGCATTCCAAATTAGACGAGGCTCTAAGACCTATACGAGTTGATTCATAATATGATTTTTAAAAGACCCGATTCAAAGATATCAATCATGACTCCAAACATGTACATAACTTTGCATATAGAGACTATACTTATAACTCTTTTGAAATACATTTCAGTTCAGTTAATTTTATTCAAAACCACACAAACATGATATCATCTGTTACATAAAAAAGAAACTGGTAATAGTCCATCAATCAACAACTTGATTACATCATAAACTGAACATCTTCTGACGTGTTCCCTTCTTTTACTTTCCCTGTCAGCCGGCCAAGGGGGTGGTGGCTTGGCTACGGGAGCCATCATAGGCATTGTCATTGCGGTCGTCGTGGTCTTGGTGGTCGTCCTCATCATCATCGCCGTCGTCGTGCACTCCAAGGGAAAAGGCACAAGGGATACGTGAGTATTAAATACCAATACATTGTAAGGTAAAGGATTCGATTCCCTGTGCTTGTTAGATGTAATACACCCTTTCACGGTAACAAGAGTGCGCATGCGCCGACACTGGCGCCATTTTAAATTACGAGAAAATAAGTTGTTTCGTAATTCAAAGGTGGCGCCCATGTCAATTAAAGCGTGAGGCGCAGTCAGTGACGCAACAATACATAATTATGTGCATCTGAAAACAGTGATGGTGCAATATTTACTCGTAAATTAAAATGGCGGCCTTAACCGTAAAAGGTTGTATTATAGGTGCAGGGTTCTAAACCCCGGAACAAAAAGCTTAGCACTTGATCGGATGATTGATTCGGTGCGATTGATGGCACATAGGAATCAATGCAATTAATCGCAAAAAATAATCGTACGATCAATTGCTATGTTAGTATTACAGGACCTAGATCCATATAATGTTCTCGCTACGCATAATACCGATCGATCACGGGGTACAGGATGCCTGGCCCCTGTACTTGTCAGGTTTAATACCAAACAATAACAATGTATAGGTTCCGATTCCCTGTACTTGTTAATACGTTAATCTTTCAACTCATAAAAATATTCGCACTATTGAACTCGTAAACAAATACATTTTGTGTATACTACTGCACGCTTTTTTTCTCTGTAAATGAATCACACATGACTGCATTTAACATATCATTTGGTTAGGATGTAGGAGTGAGTTGTATAACTAGAGTGTGTGTGAGGTTATTATATTCAACATTTCTTTTTTGTATTATCTGTGCAGTGAGCGCGGAGTAGGATTGAAGAACCCAGGATTCTCTAAAGATGAGCACCAATATAGTAAGTAATACTATCCCGGATACTGTTAAGCCATTGACTATTGAATTCTCTAATCCCCATTGGCTTAATACAGGGACCACCATGTTCCAGTAGGTTAGGGGTCAATTCTGCAGATTTAGACAACCTCCCCTATCGAGAACTTGAATAATGAATAATCATCATACGAATTTTTATAATTGTGCTTAAATTGTGTATTCGGACAGTAATTTCATTTAAAACAGAAATTTGAAGAAGTTTACAAGCATATTTCATAAATCTTTTAAGACTAATGCCGGACAAATATTCATGGTGGTGACTTGTGAGTGCTATTTTATATTAATATGTACCGTAAATTTAAAGGCAAAAGAGAAATCTCCATGTCCAGACACCTAATACATATAATAATTCTGCTCTCTTTAAACGCATACGGATGTAATTATTCAATATTCAAGAACAACACTATATTGCAATAATTACAAGTGTTTTCGTTCTTAATAATCATTAAAAGTCATTATTATCATTCTTCATCATCTTCTTCTTCTCCTCCTTCTTCTTCCCCTTCTTCTTCTATTTCCATTTCTACGTGTTTTTTTTTTTTTCTTCTTCTTCTTCTTCTTCTTCTTCTTCTTCTTCTTTTTCTTCTTTCTCTTCTTCGTCTTCATCTTCTCTTCTTCTCATTCTTCTTCCTCGTCTTCTTTTTTTCCTTCTTCTTCTTCCTCCTCTTCTTCTTCTTCTCTTCTTCTCCTTATTCCATTTAATTTCTTCTTCTTCCTCTTTTTTCTTCCCTTCTTCTTCTTCTTCATCATCATCTTCTTCATCATCATCTTCTTTCTTCTACTTCTTCTTCAGCCTTCCTCTTCTTCTATTTTCTCTTATTCCTCTTCTTTTCCCTTTCTTCTTCTTCTTCTTCTTCTTCGTCTTCTTCCTCTTATTGTTCCTCCTCTTCTCCTTCTTCTTCATCTTCTTCATCTTCTTCCTATTCTTCTTCTTTTCATCTTCTCAGTACTTCTCCTTCTTCTTCTTTCTCTCCTTCTTAGTAGTATTAGTAGTAGTACCATGTAGTAGGTAAAGAAATACATAATAGAGATAGTAGAAGTAGCAGTAGTTGTATTAGTTGTAGAAGTAGTAGTTTTGCAAGAAGTAGCTGCATCATCACCATTATAATCATCACTTAATTTGTTTTTTTTCTGTATCCAGAGAAATAACTGTCTCGGATTGATCTTGGCTGCAGCACAACAATCCAGACATAAATTCATGGATGGATCGTGATAAGCAGAATTGCACCCTCAAGGGCTTTCATCATTGAATGTTAATTTAAAGCTCTTCATTTATTTGGCTGAACATAATGGTACGTTCTGCATAACGTAAAATATATTACTCAGATTACACCTTTATTCAGTTTGCGTACGTAAAATATATTACTCAGATTACACCTTTATTCAGTTTGCGTTTGAACTCAGATAATGCTTTTATTTTATTTGAGAGGCCTTTGATATGAACTGGAATTATAATTCGCTGAAATGAAATGTACATCATTAACCAAATTATTGATTTGCATTTTTTTTAAAGTTAATAAAAAAACATATAAACCCAGTTTCCATGTTTATTAATGGTGTCGTGGTTTAGCGGATACATCACCGCTGACTGGACTGTGGATCGCATGGTCCGTGGTTTATTCCCGCCTCGGCACTAATGCTTTTTGCCACTCTCCATCCTGGTGAAGTAATGCTTTGGCGCCTGATCATGGCGGTTAGCTAGTGCAGGGGGTATTAATGTGATGCTTTATATTAAGCACAGTGGAGTATATTCATATAGAAGCTACACTCTCTAAATAGAAGTAATTCTTATCATTACATTTTTTTAAAGGAAAAACTGGAATATCGTTATGGAAGTGGCTTAAAGTGCTCAACTGGAACTTATAGAAACAAATTCTTCCCTTGTTCCATTAATTTTAAGCTGTGTGAAAATATTATTTTCTTGGTTATGATAATGCGAGCTTCCAAGTACTTTCTGGATAATTTGTTGCTGTGTTTGTTGTTGTAATAGAACATTGATATTGATTAATAGATCCATTTGATTTCTTCTTTGATTTATCGTTGGTACATGGATATAAATGTCTGTATATTTGTATTATGTTTATGTTGACTGTAAAAATGCTATGTGATCTATATCAAATTATAAAAAATATAAAAAAGGAGAGGACATTGATGTTCAGCGTAGATGTACATCAGTGAGGTTTTTTCTTATTATACGTAGAATATGCAATACACAGATATTAGTATGGAGTATAATTCCAACTATACAATTTTCTACTTTTTTTCCAATGAAAATGGTAGTATAGATATCGCTTAGAGATGAATAAATACCCTTCTTGTCTACGTAGCTGTTGGTCCATTACGTGGTCTAATCAGTGGCAACCATTTTGCAAATATCTTTGTTTTGGGATCAATAGAAGGTACCTCTGGAATGTAATTGGAGTAACGTCTTCACCTTTATTCCCTTTCTTTACCATAATTCTTTGCCAAATCTAGAAAATGATTTTGGGGACTAACTTGATGTTCTTTTGAATAACTCCTTCATTGATAGTGCACGTTGTATCTTACCATTCCAAGTTAATAATACGATGCCTCTGAGAATTCATTAGAGTAATGTTGCTACACCTTTTCTATGGCCAATTTTATCAGAGGACATTAGGCCAAATTTTGAAAATTGACAGTTTTTGTAAAAACTCTGATGATTGTTTAGTTTTTCGTATTATTGGGTATTCTGATGTACATGATTTTAAGGTTTTTGCGATTTTTTTGGGACCCCCCCCCAAAAAAAAGTGTCCTCTTACCCCCCCCCCCCCCCCCCCCCCCCCCCCCCCCCGCTTATTCAGCGGTCGGCTGAGTCGTTGCGTTTTTTTTTTGGACCCCCCCCCCCCCCCCAATAAAAAATAAAAAATAAAAAATAAAAAAAATTATTCCCACGACCGACCTAAAAAAGGTGACCTTACCCCCAACCCCCCCCCCCCAACTGAGCAAAATATGAAATGTCCAAATTTCGAGACCCCCCCCCCCAAAAAAGTGTCCTCTTACCCCCCCCCCCCCCCACCCACCCCCGCTTATTCAGCGGCTGGCTGAGTCGTTGCGATTTTTTTGGGACCCCCCCCCCCCCCAAAAAAAGTGTCCTCTTACCCCCCCCCCCCCCCGCTTATTCAGCGGTCGGCTGAGTCGTTGCGTTTTTTGGGACCCCCCCCCCCCCCCCCACCCAAAAAAAAAGTGTCCTCTTACCCCCCCCCCCCCCCCCCCCCCCCCCCCCCCCCCCCCACCTACCCCCGCTTATTCAGCGGCTGGCTGAGTCGTTGCGAAATTTTCGGACCGATTTATAAATGTTAAACCCCCCCCCCCCCCCCCCCCTTGAAAAAATCCTGCGTACGCGCCTGCTTCCACCTGTGTATCATGGAGTGCACTGAATGTGCACTGAATAAATTATGTTACATAACTTTCATGAGCACGTATGCAGTATTTCGTCTCCGTGTATTTCAAAATTTGTTCTGCAATGACCTTTATCTGCTCATGCTCAGACTGCAACCGTGAACCACAGAATTATAAGAAGTGTGCCGTGAACTGGTTCCCTACACACTTGATTCAAGCCGTCGAAGATGGCGTTATCAACAAACTCATAATTATGCTCACCAGCCCAGCCTGAGGTCACGCCATCATCGGCTGGTAGCAAAGAAGTAGGGAAAGGTAGCTGTGGGTGTGTGTGTGTGTGGTGTGTGTATGTGTGTGAGAGAGAGAGAGAGAGAGAGAGAGAGAGAGAGAGGAAGAAATAGAAATAGAAAGAGAGAAAGAGTGTGTGAGAGAGAGAGAGAGAGAGAGATAGAGAGAGGGAGGGATAAAGAAAGAGCGAGTCGAGAGGGGAGAGAGAGAAAGATAAATGAAGATAGAGGAGAGACAGGGGGAAGAGATAGGGGAAGAGAGAAAGAGACAGAGAGAGAGAGAGAGACGGGGGGGGGGGAGGCCTTTTCATGTGTAAGAGAATATAATTCCATTATCTTTGTTACAACATTTGCTTTATACCATTTCGTGATATTTCCATTTTACTGTATATACATACTCACTGGCGTACTGGTGAGGGTGCTTGGGGGGGGGGGGGGGCTTCAGCCCCCCCCAAATAAAATTGAACCATGACATTTTTTCACAAGTGATGTATATGTTCGTGATATCACATGATTTTCAACAAAATGCTAGTTTCTCCATTTATTCTTGCAAACTGACCCATTCCCACAAAAAGCCAGGAAGAGCTTATGTTTTTTATAGTCACTAAGGGCCTTATAGTGGCCACTAACAGTAACACTGGTAAAAAATCCTTTCCAGAAGCTTTGTGCAAAGCACTCCCGGGAGATAACATGCTACCTACCACTCGGGCTGAGCATGCACAGATTTGCGAACAGCGTTCCATACTTACACCATGTAACACTGCACATATAGTGGGGGAAATTGAATTCAGACAAGATTAAGAGTAGAGAACGGTACAACGAATCGTCTTCTTTCTCTAATAATTTAATGAAACGGCAAAGCCTTCCGCGCTTTGCACGGGAGGGGGGGGGGGGGGATTGAATTCAGACTAGGATTAAGAGTCGAGAACGGTTTTGATGAAACGCGAAAATGATTTCAGACAAGTATTAAGAGTAATAATTAATTAAAACGACAAAGCTTCCGCGCTTCGCGTGGGAGGGGGAAAACTGAATTCAGACAAATACACGATAAAATGAATCGTCTTCTTTCTCTATAAATTTAATGAAACGTGATAGCTTCCGCGCTTCACGCAGGATGGGCGAAAATGAATTCAGACAAGGGTTAAGAGTAATAATTTATTGAAAGACAAAGTTTCCGCATTTCGCGCGGGAGGGGGACTGATTTCAGACAAGAATTAAGAGTCGGGGTTGAAACAATGAATCGTCTTCTTTCTCTAATTATTAAATGAAACGTCATAGCTTCCACGCTTTGCGCAGGAGGGGCGAACCAAGAATTAAGAGTCAAGAACGGTACAACGGATCGTCTTCTATCTCTAATAATATAATGAAGTGTCAAAGCTTCCGCGCTTCGCGCGGGAGGGGGGGGGGGGGAACTGAAAAAAATAATTAGTTCCTGGCCCCGGGTTTATGGGGTTAAAATTGTAGGCATTTGGACATTGGCATTTTTATATTTGTTGGTAATTGGTGGCTCGTTTTGTCGGTAATCGGTGGCCTCTACACCCTTCCCCCCCCCCCACTGAAAAAGATCTAGCCGCGCCCCCGATAACGACACAGTTTATACACTCGAGATAATTTTTGCAAGTACTACAGTGAAGTACCGGCATCAAAGCATAATCTATACAACGTCTCACGACGTGTCAGATCACTTTTCTCTAACTTCTAACGAATACCCTCCCGCGCAAAGCGCGGAAGCTTTGCCGTTTCATTAAATTATTAAAGAAAGAAGACGATTCGTTGTACTGGTCTCTACTCTTAATCTTGTCTGAATTCAAGAAGGCCTCTTTTTTTCCAGGAAGTGCCGGTGGACATTAATGCGCCAAATGTGGTTCTCAAATTGCAAAAGATCCCTACTCTTGGAAGGGGTAGGAGAAAGCAATTTTACGTCATATTATATTACTCCAGGAAGCAGGGGCGTCGCCAAAGGGGGGGGGGGGGGTGAGGGGATGCGACACCCCCCCCCCCCCATCTGTCAGGATATTGTCGGTAAAATTGCGCTGCCGTCGGAAAAAGGAGAAAAGGGGGAGGGAAAAAAAGAGAGGGAAAAAAAAGAGAGGGAAAAAAGAGAGGGAAAGGGGAAAGAAAAGAAGAAAAAAAGGAAAAGAAAAGAAAGAAAGGAAAAGAAAGGAAAGAAAAGAGAAGAAAGAAAGAGAAAAAAGAAAAAGAGGGAGGAGAGGAAAGAAAGGAAAAGAAAGAAAAGAAAGAAAAGAAAAAAGAAGAAAAAAGAGTTAAAGGGAAACAAACGAAACGGGGGATGAAAGAGAGGAGAGAGAAGGGAGGTAAGAGTCTGAGAGAGGAGGAGTGGGAGTAAAAGAGAGAAGGGAGTTGTTGGGTGGAGTCGTCTCGTCGAGGGAGCAAGAGAGAAACGGGTAAATATGTTGCTGTGTCGGGTCAGCTGTGTCGGTATTCTTGATCGATCCTCTTGTACTATATCAATGCAGAAGTTTGAAGTCGGTGAGATGTATATTGTCGGTCGGCCGACAAGTTTTTTTCCCTACGAACTGTGTCTTCTTATCCGCTGTGACGACTTCGAGAGTGACTACAACTACAATACTTGTTTTTTCTCGAAGTTTCACTTTTCTATAATATCAGCTAAAGAAATCAGAGGTTAACATTTTCGGGTAAACTAAATTCAAACAAGATTTAAGAGTCAACAACGGTACGACGAATCGTCTTCCTTTCTATATATTGTGATGAAACGCCAAAAATTCCGTGCTTCGCGCGGAAGGGAAACTTCATTTAGTCGAGTCGAGAACGGTACAACGAATCGTCTTCTTTCTCTAATAATTTAAGGAAACGTCAAAGCTTCCGCGCTTCGCGCGAGAGGGGAAACTGAGTTCAGACAAAATTAATAGGGCTTATTTAGAGTCGAAAATGGTACAACGAATCGTGTTCTTTCTCTAAAGATATGAGAAAACGTCAAAGCTTTCGCACTTTGCGCGAGAGGGGGGAAACTGAATTCAAAAGAATATGGCTTATTTAGAGTCGAAAACGGTACGACGAATCGTCTTGTGTCTCTAATAATTTTAATGAAACGTCAAAACTTCCGCGCTTCGCGCGGGAGGGGGAAGCTTCATTCAGATAAGGATTAAGAGTCGAGAACAGTACACCGAATCGTCTGCTTTTTCTCATAATTTAATGAAACGTCAAAGAGGGGGGTGGGGGATGGGAGGGGGTGGGGGAACTTCATTCAGCCAAGGATTACTAGTCGAAAACGGTACAATTAATCGCCTTCTTTTCCTTATAATTAAAGGAAACGTCTAAGCTTTCGCGCTTCGCGCAGGAGGCCCATCACCCACACCCCCTAATGAGCGCGCTTTTAAGTGAATTTCTTGCTCACTACCGCCCCTCCCTAAAATAAGATCCTAGCTCCGCGCCTGCATTAAAATATATAGCTATGATGCTGACTAAATTGAAGAAATATTACGTATATTTATGTCTTCGAGGAAAATGACCATTTCGCGCATATGCAAGTACTATAGATAGTCCATATGAATTTTTTTTTTAGCTTCGGCCCAGGGTTTATAGGGTTATTTGTAGATATTGAACATTTAATTTTGTCGGTAATTGGTGGCTAGTTTTGTCGGTAATCGGTGGCCTCTACACCCCCCCCCCCCCACTAAAAAAGGTCTAGCGACGCCCCTGCCCTGCCAAAATTGCAAACGCTTCTTACTCTGGGAGGGGGCCAGAACCCCCTCCCGGACCCACCCCCTGCTTGGTCACTCCAATCCCTCGCCGTTAAAGCCTCGTTCTGTCGCTTCATCGTTTTACATTTCAACCCTTGCCATTTTGTGCCCCCCCCCCCGGTAAGAAATTCCTGGATCCGCCACTGATGCCCATACCCCTTGAGCTTGGGGGCTCCGCCCCTTGACCCCCGCCGGGCTTTGCCACTAAACCCCATTTCGAGAAACGTTCAGCAGGGACTGCATGTTAGAGTGGGGGTGATTCGGATTTTTTTTTGTCAGCCCCCCCCCCCCCAAACGTTTTTGCTCATTACGCCACTGTACATACTAAGAAATAAGGATGCAATTGGGGTGCAGATTTGC